GTCTGTATGAATTTGCTAGGAAAGGTTGCCACATGTTTGTGGATATCCTCTAGTTACCGAACAATGTAACAGGCCTTCTCACAACATCTCGTCGTCCCATGTTGCGATATCAACCTCTTCCGAGCCTGTGCATTACGCATGCCACCTAGCAGACACAATAGAGCCATCGCTTCTTCAAACTTAGTGGTTAGGCTTGCACTATACCTAACTATGGTAGAGGTTGCTGAATCCCTACAGTTAAATCAATGACATTTTCAAGGTTTCGACACAAGATCGAGAAGGAATACCGTGCACTCGTGAACCCTATAACTCGCACTATTAAATGTCGAATTCTCATCGATACGGAAGACCTTCATCCCCCAGAAATTGCCCCATTAATTTATTTTTATATTTCTGTGAGTACCGTGTTTTTTGGAAAAAACGGATAGCAATTCCTAGTAACACAGGAAGGTACGCATCCAGCGATTTCCGCTAGCCGGTGTCGGTTTCTCATAAAGAACATTCCAAAGTCATGTACGTAGGTATATCATCATGTTACTGTAACGCCGTCACCAAAATGTTGTGTGACCAGTGGACCGATAGACGAAACAGAGCGTGCAGTCATGGCCTGTAACTGTTTAACGAAGGCTTCTTACACTACAGCGCCTACAATGCCGGAAAGAAGGCCCAGTGAAATATGGAATGTAGAGCAAGGTCTATGCCCGCCGATCATAAGAGTGTCGGTGTTCACGATCAGTACGCAAATGTATCCAAAACCCCGGTAGGCAGCCAAACTTGCCACTGCGTGACACCAGTGTAGCAAAAATAAGGCGGCGAGAAAACGCAGGTACAACGATTAACCAGACTCTTAGGTCACGTGCCTGCCCCACCTCGAACCACACCTGGGCGATGACTCCTTGTCCCATCCATGTACCGACTTGCCCAAACTTTGTAGATGCTTTATGTTTGTTTGACCTCGTAGTTTCGGCACTATTTGCCTTATGATCCGCTTGGATTCGTCCTAAGGATTTTGCTTTGTTTTATCGGGGTTGCAGTTAACTGCTTGGGATTACTGCTGCAGGCACAGGGAAAAAAGTAAACGTTCGGTTGACGTCCTCAGTTTCTCTGGCTCAGGCTCATTGGCGCTCATCATTCGCGACCCATGCTTAATTTATTGCGTAGAGATTGCGTTGCTCCGTCTGATCGCTTTCATGACAACTGCGCTTGTTTCCTTTCTCTCCCCTATTATTGGCTTTTACGTCTTCCGTGTAATCAGTACCTTCCTCCTCCTTACAGGAGTACGAGCACTAGACATGCGGAAGATTAGAGAGGTAACCTTCTGAGTCCGTTGAGATGTTAACAATGGACACGAAGATAAGATATACTCCGTACACTCTAGGCACAACACAGCGTTGACACAGTGAGATTCTCAGGCAATTAATGTAGTGATGCTAATAGCAAAATGTCTTGTGACCCAACCGACATCACGACATCGCAGCTTTATTGTTCAGCAATCAATTTCCCTGTTGCATTCACATCTGGTTCCATATAGTGAATAGGTTTGTGATCCACTCACGCCGTTGATAAGGGTCGGTTGACAAGGGTCGGCGTAAACTCCAACCGAAAACCAGAATCTACAAACACTCTTCTAACCACCGATGCCCTCACCTGCTTCTATACTAATGCACAAGGTCTTCTCAGCAAGCTAACCGAACTTCGATTTCGCCAGGTCTCCACGCCCTGGGACCCAGTTATGGTCACCGGAACCTGGCTGAGCACGGAAATCGCGGATGCCGAGATTGCGTTACCTGGCATGAGTTCCTTACGAAAAGATCGGCCTAGCAGAGGAGGCGGAGTGCTTTTGTATTATCGATCCGACCTACATATTGAGATCATTGATGACTCAGAAGCAAACATCAACGATTCTCTTTTGTGTCGTATGCACCTGAGACATGGCGATGTGTGTTTGCTAGCAATAGTTTACCGTCCTCCAATGTCTACCTTGGAAATGGATCAAGGCCTTGCTGCTGCGATGAAACGAGTATTGACACGTCCACACAGTCACGTTCTTCTGGTGGGGGACTTCAATCTGCACGCACTCGAAGTTCCAGCGTCGCCCAGCGAACAGTTCAAGGCTGATTTGCAAGAACTGATTACCGATGTACCACTGTATAACAATGTCACCTCCCCCACTCGTTTCAGAACGGGTGACACTCCCTCTGTCTTGGACCTTGTGCTCACCAACCAGGAACTAATGATTGACACCGTTACCATAGCTACATCACTAGGTCGTAGTGATCACGCGACGTTGCACTTTCGTTACATCTGTTATTCGGAGTACGTTAGAGAGAACGACGAGGAAACTTATATGGTTACACATTACGACATCTTGTCTAACCTTGTTCAACACACCAACTGGTCCTTCCTGACCGAGAATCCGCCCGATGAGGCTTGGATGATGTTTGTCACCAAATTCACTGAGCTAGTGGCAAATGCATCAGAACGCAAGGCCTTTCGCCCGAAGCAAGTGGATTCGTTCCTAAGAAGCCGTACGAGAAAATCTATGGCCTTAAGGGATTCGGCCTGGCACGCTTACAAAGTTTGCCTAAGTAATCTGACCTGGGGAGTCTACACAACTCAACGAAACCACTGCGTCAAGTTGATTCGCGAAGACAAACTCCAGCACCAACAGAACTTAGCGGCGAAATTCAGCAAAAATCCAAAGCTGTTGTATAGACATATCAACAAACTCCGTAGAGTGCAGCGCGGGATCCCGGTCTTGCGTGCAACAGATGGTCATGCGCAAACTGCACAGGACGCGGCCAACGTGTTTCGTCAACACTTCCTCCATACTTTCCGGAGTGAACCATCCCTTCACCCGATTTTGACAGAGCTCTCACCGTTCCCAGGTTTACACAACGTATCGTTCACGGCAACCAATGTGTTGAAAACGCTAATGTCGTTGCGTGTGCACAGCTCGCCAGGCGTAGACGATATTAAACCGAAGGCGTTGAAGGCAGCGGCCCTAAACATTGCCGAACCATTAGCTCGGTTCTTTCAACGTTGTCTTGACCAAATGCTGATTCCCACAATGTGGAAACATGGGCTAGTCACTCCCATTTACAAAAGCGGTAATCGTGCGGAGCCGTCGAACTACCGTCCAATCACTCTCCTCCCAGTTCTATCCAAAGTAATGGAACGTATAATTGCGGAGGCGCTGATGGGATATCTGGAGAACAACAATATCATAGTGCCACAGCAACACGGATTCCGCCGAAATCGATCCTGCACTACAAACTTGCTGCTGGCCCGAGCAAGCTGGACGGAGTCAGCTGATGCTAGATTTGGAGTCGACGTTGTCTACCTGGACTTCTCGAAGGCGTTCGATCGTTTGGACCACCGCATCCTCCTACACAAGCTTCGAGGCTACGGAATCGGTGACCCTGTGCTTGGTTGAATCGCCAACTTTCTCACTCAACGTCAGCTGCATGTGAGAGTCCGCAGCTCCATGTCCGACCCAATTGACGTCCATTGCGGTGTGCCACAAGGGTCAGTACTGGGGCCACGTTTATTTTTAACATTCCTTAACGACCTTGCCAGTGTACTACAGTCGAACTTCTTGCTGTTTGCAGATTATGTCAAAATTTGGCATGACATCCGGACAGAGGACGATCACGCAACCCTGCAGAGCGATCTGGACAGGGCGTACACTTGGTCATCCGAAAACATGCTCCACTTCAATGTCGCCAAGTGCAAAGTCGTGAGCTTACGCCACCAGCTCATCCATGAATACTTACTCGGGGACCAGCCGTTGCAACATGCTTCCCAGGAATGCGACCTCGGAGTGATCGTGCAGGACGACCTTGGCTGCTCCAGACAAGCTGAAAAGTCATCGAAAAGGGCCAGTCAACATCTCGGACTCTTACGGAGGGCTTTCGGAAATTTCGAGCGATCTGTATTTCCGCAAATGCTGAGCGCTTACGTGAGACCCCACGTGGAGTATGCGATCCAGGCCTGGCGTCCCCGGCGCAAGCGCGACATCAGTGCACTTGAAGCTCCACAGCGTAGAGCAACGAAGCTCGTCAGAGGCCTGTTTCACATCCCCTACCAACGCAGACTGCAGTCTCTGGGATTGTACAGTGGTGAATATCGTCGTCACCGAGGAGACCTCATCATGGTCTACTTAATACTGATGAATCCAAATCACCCATGTCGCAGTCTCTTGCAAATGAGCCAAAATACCAACCTGAGAGGTCATCAGCTCAAACTGGCTACACACTACAGCCGACTTGATTGTCGACGAAACTCTTTCTCCCTCCGTGTGTCCCGTGCTTGGAATGCGCTCCCCACTCACGTCGTCCTTGCCCCCACATTGGCACTATTTAAAAATCGCCTAGATGACACACTTTCCAACTTGCATTATTTGGCATAGCACGTCCTATTCGGAGGACGAAATAACGAGACCCAAACCATGAGGTTACTGACCCTCCCCGCAAAGTGGCGGTGATGTTACATACAGGAGTGTCCCAATGAGCGACATGGATGTATACAAACTGGAGTAACGTACCACATCTCTCAACGGAAGCAACACACGAGTGAACGTTATCCGTTCCTTTGATTTCTTTTTCCCACATTTGCTGTAATATAACAGCTCTACCTTGGGTGCAGACATCCAGTCCATACTTCAAACTATCATTATGAAGTGGGGCGTTGAAATCTGTAGAGGCTTAAAAAACGATTTACTTGTTCGATTATCCTTCCATTTTATCTATTGCTTCAACCACCCTACGGGACCTGTCAAGCATATGCTTTTTTACCCGTTATAAATCATTGTTCATTGTTCATTGTTCAAACAAAGTTCGACAGTTATCTAGAGTTGTCCCGATTAGTCAACGTACACCAACTGGTCCAGTTTTGGTATGGATACTAAATGAGGCAGAACTTTTTGTTACAGCCAAGTACTTGGGTGCTACTTTGCTCAATTAATATTTACTCCCTCTGTTATTTCGGTTACATTTTAGCATCTCATACTTTTCCTGCAAGATGAACAACAGCTCACAACCCGGTTCCTCACAATTTCAGCTGGCTGCGTCTTGGTTTCTGCTTTTCTACTCAGATGTTTAATGAAGTACCTCAAACTGGAAGTGTCCATCTACCGTTACACGCGACCATCTCTGAGAGAGCGCCAGCATGCTCAGAATTGCCCCCACTATTGATCTTCTGCTTTTTGTACATCAGTTTATATATGAACAAGATTACAACAAAGTTATTGAACTTTCTACGTATTGTGTGCCAATCCGTTCCTTCGGGAACGCTTATTCTGGCGCTTTGTATTACGGTAGATGGTTGGGTACAACTCAGATACTGATCAGAAGCAATGTGTCATTGAGTGGAAACGTCTAAGTGACAAGGCTATGTGATTGTGCTGATCGTTGTGAAGTCAGGGGAAGTGGTGTGCTCGGGTTTTGGAGCTACATTGCGGCCGCTTTCGTCTTCGACAGCGAGCGGCATCTGACCGCATGTGTTTGGCATCAGGGTACACAGTGATGACCAGTTGGTGTTTCAGGAAGTCCAGCTCAAGAGATTATCCCCAGAGTGAATACTCAGGAGTGTATAGATAACAAACATGGAATGGACACCATTTCCACCACATTATTTCTGTCCAAATAAGTCAGAAACTAAATACGATCCGTTGCCTAACGGAGAGAGCGGGGAAGTTATGTGCAGAAGCTAAGGATTCAGATGAGCTAAGTTTCACCCGACACGTGTTCAAAAGTAATGAATACCAGGAAAAATTCATTCAAAAGCCCATAGAGATATGCGTGTCAAACATGAAACTTTTCCTAGTAAAGGCAGTTAATATCCTTACATCTACATTATAAGAGTGACGCGGTAGTGGGATGAGCCACCGGAATAGTTTCAATAGCCAGTGTGATAAGCTGCCTTGAGACCGCTCTGTGCGCAAGCTCCTGCTCAATATAAACTTGGGCCAGTAGCTCAAAGATTGAATACTTCGGTCACTAGCCTCCTTTTATGTGTATAATTATGCCCGTGTAGTTTAAGGTGCATTAGTAAAAATATCTGACGACTGTACGTGAAACCTCTGGAACGCTGCAAGACTTGCCTTTACAGCAGTGGGTGGGCGAATGTGGCAGCGAGCAAACAATTAGCACGAATTAAGGAGCGAGAGCTTGACGAGTCTCGTTAGATGGTTAGGGTGAAAATTAAATAATAACAGGTAGGTGAGTCATTTGTTTAGGCAGATACCATATCAACTGCGTTGCTAAATAAACAGGGGGTACAAATATTAAATGTATGTACACGGAACAACGTGGGACGCCGTGACAGTGAGAGAAACAAACACAAGGCCTTCGTGGGTTCATAGGACAGAAATCCGGTAGAAGTGTATGGTTAAAGTAATCCACCTCGAGTTCCTCGTTAGCAAGGGTTAAGGGGTCCTCAAGTGGCTGATGGTCCTGCAGCAACACTTTACACTTTGAAGCTGTAAAACGCAAATCAAATCATGAGACTACTCTAGACAGACTATCCAGGGTTGATTGAGTTGCCGCAACGTTGTCGAAAAGCAAGACGATATCGTCCTCATAATCAAGATAACCTAACCTTTCACCAGGCAGCACTTCAACGCCCACATCGTGAGCTTCCGCAACGAAACATTCCATGATAGAGTCCACGACGAAATCGAACAGAAACGGGGGAATCGGACAACCCTGACGAATGTCACTTATGAACGGAAAGCTATCCGACAGGTCAGCATAGACCCTGCCGCAGCTTGTAGTGTTCGAGTATAGAGCACGTAAGATGTTCAGATATTTCCTGGGAACAACTTTCTGCGCAAGTAATTCGAACAGAATGGATCGATCAAATGAATCGGACCCACTCTTGAAATCGATGAATGCAGCTATTGTCGGTCTGCGATATGCGTGGCGCTGCTCTAGCACCTGCCGCAAAGCAAATATATGGTCTATACAGCCACGCCCTGAGCGGAAACCGGCGTGTTCTTCCCTATTCCGAGATACCCGTTCCACAGTAAGGCGAAGAACGAGAATCTAAGCCAGTAATCTTGTCACAACTGACGTTAGGATAGTACCCCTATGATTCGCACAGTTTGTGCGACTACCCTTCTTGTATATTGCTAATAAAATCGATGCACTCCAGTTAGCAGGGACACTCTGTTCCTTCCAGATACGTACGAATAGAGAGGTCAATGCTTTACAGAGGATCTCACTTCCATTGTTAAATAGTGCAGGTGTGAAGAGATCCGGGCCAAGGGCACAAAAACGATTGAGGGCTGTGATCGCGTTTCGCACCTCGGTCTCCGACAAAGCCTCTAAACAAACCGTCCATGGTTCGTCCTGCATCATCTGAGTAGGAAGAGGTCCGGCAGCCAGGGACCAGCTGAACTGATCTTGAAAGTGTTCAGCCCAACGAGCCATACGGTGTTTCCTATTGTGCATCAGAGCACCCGTACTGTCTCTGATTGTCTCACTGACACCTGGTTTCCTGGAAGCGGTGGTGCGCATAAGCCGGAAGGACTTGTATTAAGTGCCTACTGCTCTTGTCTCCTTCACTTTTCGAGCTCGACTGGTCCACCAGCCTTTCTTCTCAGTACCTAGACTCCGCTTTAGTCGAACCTAAAAGTCCGCTGACCTCATTGTGCTCAGAACCAGCCGGGATGTTTCTTCTGGATTCCAACTGGTTCACTGATCTCTCGGATATTCGGTGAGTGGTGCGGTGACGATTGATAGTGCCACAAGAGATGCTCCTGCGTCATTAGAACAAGACAAAGAAAGTTCGATATACAGTGCGTCTTGATAGGCTTGCTTGACCGAGGGCTGAGACAATTTCTCCGTTGCCAATCGGGGGAGACTCTTGGCGCGCCTCCCAGTAAAGTTGATCAAGAAATGACAGCGTACCGAGGCATGATCAGAGTCGACGCAGGTATTCCAGTACGAGCGGCAATCCAGGATGGAACCACGCCATCTGTAACTTATGGTAATGTGGTCAATTTGGGTCCATTGCTGTCCAGCTACAGGAGGACGCCAAGTGGCACTTCGGCGCCCACTGTGTCTAAAAGCAGTGCTACTAAGAAACAACTGGTGCTCCACACACATTTGCAGCAGAGGCACGCCGTTGTCAGTCCGTTCGGAGTTAAGCCCATAATTAGCACTCAGCTCAGCTTCTGAAGAGCTCAGATGCCCTACTTGTGCGTTCACATCCCCTGCGAGTATTATAATATCTGAATTAGTAGCACTGCGTAGTAGTGCGTCCAGTTCGTGATAGAATGTGTCCTTGACATCATTAGAACTGAAGTCGGAAATCACAATCAAACAGCGTTTTGTTCTACTTCGTGAATCAACCTTAGTTAATGTCATCAAACAGGCTGCACACTAATGTCTGTTCACCGGAATCCAATCAACCAACGTTGCTTCAGCCTTGGAACTTAGAATTGTACCTACAACACCTTAAGCCGTGAGTGCTGCATCGAGGTCTCCAGATGCGTGCAGCCAATAACCAGCGGAAAAGCCGGGTGCAGTTAATTCAACAACACAATTAAGACCCCTGATCCTAGTTTCGGACACACAACATACGTCAATACCTAGTGTGTCCAAGGTGTCTGCGAGTGTCGCCTGTTGACCTGTTTGTCTTAGATTGCGAACGTTGAACGCCGCCATAGAAACTGGACAGCACGGCCTTATAAATAAACAAACAAATAGTTTATTCTCAGATTTTTAGTGACACCAAATCAGGTATGATCAAGGGACTGTTGCCGATAGGCGTCCGGTGCCTGTCGCGAAAAGGTGGCTGCAGATGGTTCTTTTCCAGTGGCACTTTGGTTACTGTCAATTAAGCTGGGAATTATAGAAGGAAGGTTAGTAATGGGGGTCGGGATGAGAGTAAGACAAACAGGTGGCAAAGAAAGAAGTAGTAGCATCTTTCCGCTTCTGTATGCAGCAGATATGGCGAGCCTTGATAATTTGCGTGACGGCCGGTGCAGTATGAAGTTTGCCTTTGAAGAAAATGTCATGGTTGTATGTGGGCCGAGATACTGCCAGGGCGCCCAGATCTAGACAAGAGGACGATTAGGGTCCTCAACCAAAGTTTTTGGCTCAAAAGCCTGTACGCAAGGCGGCGGGGCGGTGGCAATGATTTAGTTTTACAGAAATGTACTCCATCCCATTTCAAACCCCCAACCTGGAGGACCAGGAGACTGAGTTTGTCTGACCTCTCACCATTGACCAACCTGGTAGGAGTCGCTCTCAAGGGGCCCGGAGGCACCACACAGTATAGATCAATGGGTCAAGAAGGTACGCAAACCGTCGCACCACGTTAACGTCCAGTCTCTTCGACGGTCGGCTGTCTGACTGGGACGCAGCCAAACCAGCCCGGGAAATACGGAAGAGGTGATCTGCTTGACCGGAGTGTGTTCGAGACAAAGCCTGGTTACATTTATAGGACACATGTGTTCACCTCCGACTGTGCTGCTGGGCCGCTAGACGTCACTTGTCAAAATGTGCTAACGGTCTTCACTGTCTGGCTGTCGCCACGTGATCACACTTACTCCGTATCTACGTGTCCATACTTGCGGTGTATCGAAATGTGCCACGATGATGGACTGGTTCCGTCAACCAACTTGGGTCGCGTGCCAACCTTTGTTGTAGAAGGCGATCTGAGTCAGCCGGCTTTCCTCATGTTGTTAACCTCACTCTTGTCTCAATGCGGTTTTGCGGCGTTCATCCGTTGTTGGCGCCTAACAATGAGAGTCAAGTAAACGTTGGAAAAGGCTAAACGAGGGACAGCTATGTTGGGGTCAATAGTTTGAATCACCTTTGGGCAGATGTTGTCGGTAACGTCCGATGAAACTCCCAGGAACCTCAGCATTCGCTGGTAATTGGGATTGCGTAAGCTTTTGACATTCATTGTTGTCCTGCATTGTAGTGCCTCTAGGATCACAAGATCACGCTTCAACCAGGGTTGCCAAGCTCGTAGATCGTATTCAATGTGAGGGTGCACGTAAGAGTTGTGCATGACCGGATGATCGATGGGTCAGAACTCTTGAGTGCATCATGCGCCCGGCGGACGTGCTAATTGCCTCTTTTTCAGTCGCCTCTGACTGTCTTGAACAGTTGAGTTCACACTGTACGAGCACACCGAGGTCACGTTCCCGGGAGCTGGATTGCCAACTGAGTGCCTCAAGCCAATATCATGGCTATGGTAAAGTTGAGTACGGCGATATTTCTCGACATTTTATGGTAGAGTATTGCGTACTGAACAGCTCCAAATCGCGCTACGATTCTACTGGAACAATGGTTTCATACGGGTAAAGAAGCTAATACTTAACAGGTCCGGTAAG